CACTAGAGGCCAGGTATTCAAGGCCAGCCTGGAAACACAGTGAGACCCTTTTCTACAAAAAATAAAAATAAATTAAAAACCAAAAGTACTGCATTTTGACAAAGTATGTTCATGAAGAAGAATAAAAATAATAAGCCAGAACATAGTAGAGATGCACCTGAAATCCAAAATCAGTATTTATAATGTAGGTATGTTCCAGATCCATGCATAAATAACACCTGCTTTCAAAGGATGTAATGCCTTTTAGATATACAGAAACATTAAAAACTGGGAAAATTTAGGAAAAAGTTTGGGTCTCCTATATTTGGATTATTAAAATTGCTAACAAACTTAATTTTCACCATCCCTTCATTCTTCTGTAAATTGTTTATAAAATGACTTGAAAAAGAATCAAGTCAGTTCTCATTATTTGAGGTAGTCATGTTCTATAAAGTTGCCACAAACACTCAAATTAGTGACTCCTGAGCCATTGCTCCTAAGAGAAATACAGGGTTAGGTTCCTGCAAGCCTTTGGTCACATTTTCATCAACCTATTAATACATAACCTTGTTTTATGTCAGTTTCTCTTTAAAGACACATTATTTAATAATAAATATAGACCTGGTGTGGTGGCTCACACCTGTAATCCCAGCACTTTGGGAGGCCAAGGTGGGCAGATCACCTGAGGTCAGGAGTTCAGGACCAGCCTGGCCAACATGGCAAAACCCCATTTCTACTAAAAATACAAAAAATTAGGCCAGGTGTGGTTGCTTATATATCCCAAGCTCCTATAATCCCAGCTACTGGGAAGGCTGAGGTAGGAGAATCACTTGAACCTGGAAGGAGGAGATTGCAGTGAGCTGAGATTGTGCAACTGCACTACAGCCTGAGCAACAGAGTAAGACTCTGTCTCAAAAAAAAAAAAAAAATATATATATATATATATATATATATAATATTGTTGACTCATTATCTAACTCCCACTCAACAGTACTAAAACTCATGCCTCAACAAAGGTTATCTAACATATGTATTCTATAAGACACCTCACAATCCACATGCACCTCAGAATACCATACTATATAGCACTTCAGTGCAATGCTTGGGGATCACTTTACACTGTAAAATCACAAACAGAAGATGAAGACGTGAAAAATATGGAAATACTGGCCGGGCCCGGTGGCTCAAGCCTGTAATCCCAGCACTTTGGGAGGCCGAGGCAGGTGGATCACTAGGTGAAGAGATTGAGACCATACTGGTCAACATGGTGAAACCCCGTCTTTACTAAAAATACAAAAAATTAACTGGGCATGGTGGCACGTGCCTGTAATCCCAGCTACTCAGGAGGCTGAGGCGGGAGAATTGCTTGAACCCAGGAAGCGAAGGTTGTGGTGGCCAAGAACACGCCATTGCACTCCAACCTAGGTAACGAGTGAAACTCCGTCTCAAAAAAAAAAAAAAAAAAGAAAAGAAAAATATGGAACTAGATAAACTACTTTCAAAAAGGACACGTGTTTATAGTAAGAGAACTAAACGGAAAACAAAGAATTCTTCAACCCCAGCTGGGAATATCTGTGTAAGGTACTCCAATTTTTCACCTCTGTGTATGCCCATGAAAAACCATGAAACTGCCATGAGTACTGATGTTAGATCACAAATAAATTTTAGCAGGTAGGTACCTTTACAAATACAGATTCAACAAATAATGAGAATTGACTATAAATACTACTGCATAAACAAAAACTCTGAAAATAAAAATAGCTAAAATGATAATGGGAAAACCATGTAAACAACAGGAAATTAAAAGTTTTTAAACACATGAAAAGGTGCTGAAGTTCATAAGATAAAAATTGATAAATATGAGATAATCATTTTTAACTATTCAACTGACCAAGATTCAAAGGTTTGATAGATTATTGGCTATTTTGCAGAAAATAAACTCTCGATGTTGGTATAAATATAAATTAATACAATCTCTACTGAGAACGATTTAGTAAACATTTATTAAAAATTTAAATGCAATATTCTCTTCAACATAAAAGTTCTAATTCTAGATACTTAATCCTAAAGATGCTGACTGTACTATTAAGTAGCAAATGATTAGAAACAAAACTTTCCTCCACAGAAGCTCAATTCATTAAGTCTGGTATACATCTACATATAAGAATATCCTGTAAATGCTTAAAATTAGAGTTTTAAATACTGATATGGTGTGTTCTCCAAGATATACTGAGAAAAAAGCACTTATCTATTAAATAACATTGTATGAATTCTCTCTAAAGAAAAAATTTTAAAAGTTCAAAAAGGGTAATGATATATCATGACAGATTTTAATTACTTTTTCTTTTTTCTGAAACAGTCTCAGTCACCCAGGCTAAAGTGCAGTGGCATGACCTTGGCTCACTGCAACCTCCACCTCCTGGGTTCAAGCAATTCTCCTGCCTCAGTCTCCTGAGTAGCTGGGATTACAGGTGCCCGCCACCATGGCTATCTAATTTCTTTTGTATTTTCAGTAGAGATGGGGTTTTATCATGTTGGCCAGGCTGGTTTCATACTCCTGACCTCAGGTTATCCACCTGCCTCATCCTCCCAAAGTGCTAGAATTACAGGTGTAAGCCACCATGGCCAGCCTTAATTACATGTTTTTAAAATTTCACAATAAATGTACACAAACATTTTTAAAAACATAAAGGGTATACTGTGAAAAGTGTACAGAAGGGTTGGGCATGGTCGATTCATGCCTGTAATCCCAGCACTTTCAGAGGCCAAGGTGGGTGGATCACCTGAGCTCCGGAGTTCGAGACAAGCCTTCCCAATATGTTGAGACCCCCAACTCTACTAAAAGCACAAAAATTAGGCAGGTATAGTGGCACATGCCTGCAATCCCAGCTGCTCGGGAGGCTGAGGCAGGAGAATTGCTTGAATCTGGGAGGCAGAGGTTGCAGAGAACTGAAATCATCCCACCACACTCCAGCCTGGGCAAGAGAGTAAGCCTCTGTTCCTTTTTTAAAAAAAAAAAAGTTAACTCTGTGGTTTATTTCTGTTAATGGCAACCCTGGAGAAAAGCTAAACTTAGAATATGTCTCAAAGTCATCTCTGTCTGATCCCTTAATGAAGGCTCTCTTCAAATATAGCACCTTTTGTCTCCTGAATGTAGGTATAGCTATTGCTGTAGAACAGACCATGCAATTTTCCATCTAGGATTCCTTACAATCACAAGAACAATTACTACAGTGAAAGCCAGAGAACTAGCTCAGTTATGACTTTATTACTAGGATTAGTCTAGTCAGGAGTGTGCTGGCTTTGATATTTTCTGTCTATATCTAAGGGGGAAGCTGCTTCATTACTAGATATTAAAATAAATAGGGGCCTAAAAATAGACCTAGGTCAAACACCATTATGATTAACTCAATTTTCAAAACCATTTACCTAATGTAGGATTTGCTGAGTCTTCTTCAAAATTAGCAAGAAATACAACTAATGCATAACCTGTCCTGATGAATTAAAGACTGATCCAAAAATAACTGAAATTTCTCTTCCATTTGTTCTCTTCTTTGACAATCCTATCAGTCTATGCTCTAAGCTCATCCTTGACTTCCAAAAACTGCCAGATATTGTAGACACCGTGAAGAATAAGATGCAGTACCTTTTCTCTAATGAAAGAGGAAAGACAGATATAAACAATAAACATAATATAATGTGAAAAGCTATGTATAGAAATAAGTAGAGAGGCTGGGCACAGTGGGTCATGCCTACAATCCCAACACTTTGGGAGGCGCAGGCAGAACACGAGGTCAGGAGTTCGAGACCAGCCTGGTCAATGTGGGAAAACCCCATCTCTACTAAAAATACAAAAGCCAGGCATGGTGGCACAAGCCTGTAGTCACAGCTACTTGGAAGGCTGAGGCAGAAGAATCACTTGAACCCAGGAGGCAGAGGGTGCAGTGAGCTGAGATTGTGCCACTGTACTCCAACCTGCCTGGGAGACACTGAGACTCTGTCTCAAAAAAAAGAAAAAAAATAAGTAGAGAGCAGCTTCAACAGGGGGAGATTACGTAGATGGGGGTGGTGAATAAGAAGGCTGGGCGGAGGCCAGGTGTGATGGCTCACACCTGTAATCCCAGCACTTTGGGAGGTCAAGGTGGGGAGACTGGTTGAGCCCAGGAGTTGGAGACCACCCTGGGCAAAATTGTGAGACCTCGTCTCTACAAAAAAATAAGAGGCTGGGGAGTGGTGGCTCGCACCTGTAATCCCAGTACTTTGGGAAGCCAAGGTGAGCAGATTACTTGAGGCCAGGAGTTTGAGACCAGACTGGCCAATATGGTGATACTCTGTCTCTACTAAAAATACAAAAATTAGCAGGGCATGGTGCCACAGGCCTATAATCCCAACTACTCAGGTGGCTCAGGCTCAAGAATCACTTGAACCTGGGTAGCAGTGGTTACAGTGAGCTGAGATCACACCACTGCACTCCAGCCTGGGCAGCAGAGCAAGACTGTCTCAAAAACAAAAAAAAAGATTATGTAAAGATGAGAAAAATATGACACTAAGTGGAAATACACATGCACATACACAAAATGCCATGGTGGCATCCATATGAAAATATATACAAATATGGGCAAAAGTGCCAAATAATACGCAAAAAAGAAATACAATCAAGGCTGGGTGTGGTGGCTCACATCTGTAATCCCAGCACTTTGGAAGGCAGAGGTGAGTGGATTACATGGTCAAGAGATCGAGACCATCCCGGCCGTCATAGTGAAACCCTGTCTCTACTAAAAATACAAAAATTAGCTGGGTGCGGTGGCGTGTGCCTGCAGTCCCAGCTACTCGGGAGGCTGAGGCAGAAGACTCGCTTGAACCTGGGAGCTGGATGTTGCAGTGAGCCACTATCATGCCACTGCACTCCAGCCTGTCTGAAAAAAAAAAAGGAAATACAATCACAGACACATAGCTAATTTTTTTTTCTCTTTTTTTTTTTACATGAATAATGGAAGCACTGTGGTTTGTAGACACATAGCTAATTTAAAAAAAATATATTAAATATTTTTATTATATACTTTTAAACATACAGAAGATAGAAAAAATAGTACAATGAATAGCCATATACATATCAGTTGGATTTGGTAACATTTTGCCACATATGCGTCACTAAACCATTTTAAACATTTTATGAGACATCTAACACTTCATTCCTAAATGCTTAACTACGCAAATTAAAAGTCTTTTATAAACTACAACACCCTTCTCACAGCTCATAAAATTAGCAATAATTATCCAATATCATTCGAAATCTAGTTCATATTCAAATTTTCTCAACTGTCTCACCAGTGTGCTGCCCCCACCTCCACACCCCACCCCAGTCTTTTACAATGGTTTTTCAAAATAGGGTCCAATAAAAAATTTCACATTGCATTTGGTTATTACATAACTTTTACTCTTCGAGTTACCCATTCCACTTCCTTTTTCTTTCCCAACACTGATATTTTGAAGAAATGAGGTCAATTCTCTTCTGTAACGTTTCACATTCCAGATCTGTCTGATCGTTTCTTCAGTGGTGTCATTTACTGCTGGTCTGTGCCACATTTCCTGCAAACAAGAAATTAGAACCAAAGGCTTGACAAATTCCAGTGAAACAAAACAAAACAAAAAAGACACATTCCAGTGAAACCATGTCCTCTGTGGACACCAGTTAAACTTAACTAGAGTACTTGGTATGTCATAAAGTGTGCAGCGCAGTATGCCTAGGTCATCCTGTATCACAATCAAAAAACATGCCTGGTTATCTGCCTACTAGTGATAGAAAATGGCATCATATCCTAAAGCTCTCTTCATTGTGAAAGTATGTTTTCCTCCACACAACCGACCAGTATTTGGTAAGCTGATACTTGGACACCATGAGGATTCTAGTAGGGATGCAGATTAACCTTTCATCTAATAGTTGTGGCATCAAAATGCCTTTAATACTATTTTACATTAATCTTTCAACTTTTTAACAATTCAACTTTTTTAATGTTCCAAAACATTTGTTTTCCACAAACCATAAAGTTTTACAAAAATTAACTTTCATAATGTTGGCAGACTTACTCCTTAATTTAAGGAATGTGAGCACCTCCCTTCTTTTTGATTTTGTCTGAAACCCTGTAAGGAAATCAAAGTTAGAGAACAGCATATACATTTTATACAGATGTTAGTAAGTATTTTGTTTCACAAGACATTTTACTTATTTTATTCAATAAAATATCAGAAAATAAGTTTATAGTCTTTTAAAGTGCTTTAAAAATTATCCCAAAGTAAACAATTGTTAGGCTGCAGTTAAGTTTTTCTTGTACTGGTGGCTCAGGGCTACAATCCCACAACTTTGGGAACCTGAGGTAGGGGGATCACCTGAGACCTGGAGTTTGACACCACCCTGGGCAACATAATGAGGCTCTGTCTCTATAAAAAAATTAAAAAATTAGGCCAGGCATGGTAGCACAGGCTGGGCGCAGTTGCTTATGTCTGTAATCCTAGCACGTTGGGAGGCCAAGACAGGTGGATCACCTGCAGTCAGGAGTTCAAGACCATACTGGCCAACATGGCAAAATTCTGTCTCTATTAACAGTACAAAAAGTTAGCTGGGCATGGTGGTGGGCATCTGTAATCCCAGCTACTCGGGCGCCTGAGGCAGGAGAATTGCTTGAACCCAGGAAGCGGAGGTTGTAGTGAGCCGAGATTGTGCCATTACACTCCAGCCTAGGTGACAGAGCAAGACACTGTCTCAAAATAAAAAGAGCTCACGCTTGTAATCCCAGCACTTAGGGAGGCTGAGGTGGGTGGATCATCTGAGGTCATGAGTTCAAGACCAGCCTGGCCAAGACGGTGAAACCCCATCTTTACTAAAAATACAAAAATTAGTTTGGTATGGTGGCCAGCACCTGTAATCCCAGCTACTCAGGAGGCTGAGGCAGGAGAATCACTTGAACCCAGGAGGTGGAGGTTGCAATAAGCTGAAACTGGGCCACTGCACTCTTGCCTGGGCAACAGAATGATACTCCATCCAAAAATAAAAATAAATAAATAAAAATTAGCCAGGTGGAGTGGCATATCCCTGTAGTCCCAGCCACTCAGGAAACTGAGGTGAGAGGCGATGAGTCCTGGAGGTCAAGGCTGCAGTGAACTGTGAATGTGCCCTTACATTTCAGACTGAGCGACAAGAGTGAGACCCAGTCTCTAAAATATAAAATTCAAATTAAAAAAATTCAAAAAAGATTTTTTTTTTCTTTCAATAGTCCAATAATATTCCTGAGCCCACTTACACCTTATTTTCATCAAATAAAATATATGACCTTGTGAGAGGAAGACATTTATTTCTTGCCTGTTGCTTGCTGGTAGAAAAAGTAAAATAGCAAGAAGCTGAAGTCAGTAGTCAAGGCAACTAGCTGATGCCAGTGGCCTTGCTGCAGAGATGCCTGAGGGCTGGGAAAATAACTTCCCTTCTGTAACAGGTGCCTATGTTATCTATAAACCCTGAGAATGTAGCAGAGGAATGGTCTTCCTCTGACCCAGGAAGCTGCCTCCAGTCATGTCCTCCATGTTTGCACAGTCCAGACCCCCCACTTAGAGTTGCATCTTCCCCCAAGTGATTTACTGCCTTTGTTCAGCTCCTGTAACCCTTCCCCTTCTTCCCTTCCTGGGCATGCCAAATATAAATTAGCAAGTCAATAAAAGCTAAAGACTGTGAGGTCAGCTGCCCAGCCAATGGGCAATGACACAGTTTCACAGTTCCCCCTTTAGAGTGGTAAGCCCTTAAAAAGGAAAAGAAACTGCTTTTTGGAGAGCTTGACTCTTGGACGCAAGTCTACCAATGCTCCACAGCTGAATAAAGTCTCTTCCTTCCTCACTCAGGTTGTCTGAGGGGTTCTGTCAGCGGATCATCCTGCAACAACCTTAAACTACTTGTGTCATATTCATTTATTAAAATGAGACCATTAAAAACCAGCACTCACTAAAATAAATTAATTAATTAAAAAATAAAGCCAAATAAAAATTAATACTAAAACATCTGGTTTTTTTCTGGTCAGACCTAGCGCAAATGTCCTCTCTCTTCTGGCTTCAATGCTTTCTATCTCTCTGTATGTACACTAGCTTGCAGCAGCTTCCCATTTCATTACTAATTTACAGACCTTAAGATGTATTGAAAGATTTGTTACTAATGAGTACCACAGTTATAACCTATTTTATGTTATTTCAACAATATTATTCTAGTTATTTGCATTCTGCTTTGATTTTTAGGACAATAAGACAGAGGTTAAGAGCTGGACTCAGAGCCTATCTCAACCATGTGGCTTCTGTAGAACAAAGGTTAAGAATTGCTAGCATAAGGCAATGACATCTTAAAAATACTTAAGCAGGGCCGGGGAATGGCTCCCACTTGTAGTTGCACCATTCTGGGAGGCCAGGGTGAGAGGATCACTTGAACACAGGAATTCAAGACCAGCCTGGGCAACACAGGGAGACCTCATCTCTACTAAAAATTTAAAAATCAACTTGGCATTGTGGCTTGTGCCTGTAGTCCCACCTAATCAGGAGGTTGAGATGGGAGGATCACTTAAGCCCGGGCATGACTGTGCCACTGCACTTCAGCCTGGGAGACAGAGTAAGACCCTGATTCTATTTTTAAAAATGTAAAAAAAAAAAAAAAAAAAACCAAACCAACAACAAAAAAACCACACTTAAGCTGTTGGAAAACCTAATAATCAGCAGTGGTTTGTTCTTTTTGTTTATTTAGAGACAGCATCTCTCTCTGTTGCCCAGGCTGAAGTATAATTGAGAGAGGGTAGGGATGGGACTCAGCACCTCCTTCTCCTATCCCACCAAGGACCTCTACTGCAGGCTGGTGCAAGCGAGGCCCTGTGGCTGGTGGAGACCCCTACCAAACCATCTGGACCATGCACCATAAATCTTACTCAAGGGGCCATACCTACTGAATATGAGGCCTTGAAGCTGCAGCTCCCATTATAAATCTTACTCAAGGGAGTTACCCTATCTCCAGCATACACACAAGGACAGGAGAAGGAACAATCCTTAACCCTAGCTTCATTATAATACTAAAAATCACACCTAGGGTGGAGATGTTAACATGCTAATGCAACATGCCAAGGATGAAGAAGCATGTTATGAAACTGCACAAGTGCTAAAAGTTCCCTGCCTCTACATACCTAAAAGTCGCTCTTTTCCCACGACAGCCTCTTACAAACTGCCTTTCCAACTCCCTCTGGGGAGTCAGCCAGAAAATTGTCTCTCTCTTGTGCTGCCTCCCTTATACCTGGGCATATGCTCCAAGAAAGCCTTATTTAGGAAAATTCCTTTGGCCTCACAATTTCTATTGTATTGAGAGCCGAACAACACACGGTCAGTAACACAATGGTGTGATCAGAGCTCACTGCAGCCTTGAATTCCTGGGCTCAGCGAATCCTCCTGCCTCAGCCTCCCAAATAGCTAGGATAACAGGTGCATGTCACCATGCCCAGCTAATTTTTTAAAAAACTGTTTGTAGATACAGGCTCTTAGCAAGTTGCCCAGGCATGTCTCCAACTCCTGGCTTCAAGCAATCAATCACATCTCAGCCTCCCAAAGCACTGGGGTTACAGGAGTAAGCCACTGTGCCCAGCTGGCTTATTTTTTTTAATAATAAAAATTCTAAGAGATACCGGGCGTGGTGGCTCATGCCTGTAATCTCAGTACTTTGGGAGGCCGCGGGGGCGGATCACCTGAGGTCAGGAGTTCAAGACCAGCCTGGCCAACCCTGCTCACAAGATACAAGGACTATAAGACAGACAGGGTCCCTCCCTGTCTTTAAAAAAATAAAAAATAAAATTCCAAGGGACAAAAATGCAGGTTAAGGAAACTGGAATTTCCTAACATTTCTGAACTGAAGTTTGTATGTTTATATTTTAATTAATTAACTTGAATGAATATGCAGAAAATACTTCTAAAAATAAGGATCTTTTCTCTAGTTAGCCAGAATTTGTAGCAAATATTCTGGAGAAGGCTCTGCCTAACAATTGCTGCTCAAACTCAGGTAAAAGAAACAGAAACATCTGGATGTTGTTGGTCAAGAGGCTCACACCTGTACCCCAGCACTTTGGGAGGCTGAGGTGGGCGGATTACTTGAGCTCAGGAGTTTGAGACCAGCCTGGGAAACATGGTGAAACTCCATCTCTACAAAAAAAATATAAAAATTAGCCATGCATGGCACATGCCTATAGTCCCAGCTACTAAGAAGGCTGAGCTGGGAGGATGGCTTGAGCCCAGGAGGCAGAGGCTGCAGTGAGCCAAAATCACACCACTGCACTCCAGCCTGGATGACAGAGTGAGACCCTGTCTTAAAAAAAAAAAAAAAAAAAAAAAAAATAGCCACCTGACTTTTCAGTAAGTCTACTGAAAAACCCACTAGGTTTTAATAACAGTACTATCAAGTACCTGAAACAGGAATGTTTAAGTACAATTTAACTCTAATTTTTCATCCATGTCATTCTTCAACTATATTCTAACATATAAGTGCATTCATATTTTTAAACTGTTGCTAGAACCATCAATAATAAGATCCATAACTATCAAGAGCTATGGTAAAATAGGCATTTTCAAATTGTACAGGTGGCAATGCATATAAGAAGAATTTTGGAGAGCCAGTTGTCAGTATGTATCAAAAGTTATTAAAATGTTTACACTTTTTTTTTACCTGATAATGACATTTCTTAGCCATAAGGAAATAAGCTACACAAAACTTTATATATATATAAATGGTTATCTAATTATCAACATTAAACCTTGTTAATGTTCAACATTTGGCAAAATACCAACTTATTCTGAACTAAATTTATTAGGAACCAGGCACTGTTCTAAATGTCACAGACACAAGATATAAGGGACTACAAGACAGACAGGGTCCCTGCTCTCATGGCACTTACATTCTAGTGGGCATAAACAGATAAAACAGGCAAGAAAAATTTTATCAGGGAATGACGAATGACATACAGAGAATCTAAGGGGGGGTAAAGTGATAGAAAATGAGGGGTTATCACTTCCCGACTGAAGAGGGAAGGTAAAATTTAAGGTGATATCTGAATGGCAAGTAGCCAAACAAATGAAATCTGAGGTAGGGTTTCCAGATGAAAGAACAATGAGTGCTAAGGCCCTGAAGAAGCTATAAACCAGGTACATAAGAGGAAGAATAAAGGCCAGTGTTGCTGGAGCAGAGGAAGAGAGATCATGAAATGAGATTTAGGTAAAGAAACATAACATGTTATACTTTGCAAACCAGGGTAAAAGGTTTGGATTTTAACCCGAGTGTTACTGGAAGCGATTGGAGGGTCTTTTAAATGAAGAGATGGGATCTACTTCACATTTTAAAATACTACTCTAGCTTCCGTATGAAAAAGAAATTTAGCAGGGTGACATGAGATTTGGGAATTACTGCAGTAAGGTAAGAGATTATGATGATGTCCTATTATCCAGAAAATATAAAGAGCTATCAATATCCAACAATAAAGGCAAACAACCCAATTAAAAAATAAACGAAAGATCTGAAAAGACATTTCTCCAAAGAAGATATATAAATGACCAGTTATGAAAAGATGCAACATCATTCAGTCATTAGCAAATGCAAATCAATGCCACAGTAAGGTACCATTTCACACCTACTAGGATGGCTATAATCAGAGACGGTAACAACTGCTGAAGAGAATGTAAAGAAGAACCCTTATACACTGTCGGGAATGTAAAATGGTGCCGCCATTTCAGAAAACAGTTTTGAAGTTCCTCAAAGAGTTAAACACGGAGTTGGCCTAAGAGCCTACAATTATACTCCTAGTTGCATATCCAAGAGAACTGAGAACATGCCCATACAAAATTCTGCACACAAACATTCTTAACAGCATTATTCATCATAACTCAAAGAGGAAACAACCCAAATCCCTTTCTGGATAAACAAATTGTTGCATGTCTATATGATGAAATATTATTCAGCAACAAAAGATATGAAGTACAGATATATGGCTTCAATATGGACGAACCTTGAGAAACTTATGCTAAATAAAAGAATCCAGGTATAAATGGCCACATATTGTAAAATTCCATTTACATAAAATGTACAGAATAGGCAAATATATAGCAAGTAAATTAGTGGTTGTCAGGAGCTGGGAGAAGATATTAGGGAGTAAATTCTAAGGTGTATAGGGTTTCTTTCTGGGTAATAAAAATATTCTGGACTGGGCATGGTGAAGAAGGGGCCTTGTTGAGCCCAGGAGTTTGAGACTGCAGTGAGATATGGATCATGTCACTGTATTCCAGCCTCAGTGGCAGAGCAAGAGCCTGTCTCAAAAAAAAAAAGGGCCGGGCGCAGTGGCTCACGCCTGTAATTCCAGCACTTTGGGAGGCCAAGGCATGTGGATCATGTGATCAGGAAATCATCCTGGCCACCACAGTGAAACCCCAATCTCAACAAAAAATACAAAAATTAGCCAGTCATGGTGGTGTGCGCCTGTAAACCCAGTTACTCAGGAGTCTGAGGCAGAAGAATTGCTTTCACCCAGGGGGCAGAGGTTGCAGTGAGCCAAGATAGTGCCACTGCACTCCAGCCTGGGTGACAGAGACTCCATCTCAAAAAAAAAAAAAAAAAAAAAAAAAAAAAAGAGAAAGAGAGACAGAAAGTGTACTGACTCTCGAGGGCTGTGGAAAATAATGAGGGTAACAGGGTTTCTTTTTGGAGTGATGAAAATGTTCTAAAATTGTGGTGATGTCTGCATAACTGTGAAAACCAAAACCACTGGCTTGTATACTTTCAAAGGTAAACTGCACAGCATGTGAATTATATCTCAAGAAAGCTATTTAGAACATAAATTAGGCCGATACTTTATATATACATTATATATTTTTTCAAATACTTCATAATTTTAAAAACTGTAAAAGCTTAGAGAGTTATAACTGATCTCAAAACAAATTACAAGCTGCTGATTTGTTACTTTTTGGTCATTAAAATGAGAAGTCCATAATACATACAAATATTCCAAGGTTATACCACAACAACTGAAGAGAGACTTCAGTTTTTTCCCCCCAGAGTCTCACTCTGTTGGCCAGGCTGGAGTGCAGAGGCACAATTTTGGCTCACTGTAACCTCTGCCTCCAAGGTTCAAGTGATTCTCCTGCCTCAGTCTTCTAAGTAGCTGGGATTATAGCTGCCTGTCACCACACTGGGCTAAGTTTTATATATTTAATAGAGACGGGGTGTCACCATGTTGGCCAGGCTAGTCTTAAAACTCCTGACCTCAAGTGATCCACCTGCCTTAACCTCCCAAAGTACTGGGATTATAGGTGTGAGCCACTGTGCCAGGTCTTTTCCTTTCTTTTCTGAGACGGAGTCTCACTGTCACCCAGGCTGGAGTGCAGTGGTGCAATCTCGACTCACTGCAACCTCTGCCTCTCAGGATCAAGTAACTGTCCTGACTCAGTTTCTCAAGTAGCTGGGATTACAGGTGTCCTCCACTACGCTAGGCTAAATTCTTTTTTGTATTTGTAGTAGAGACAGGGTTTCATCACATTGGCTAGGCTGGTCTCGAACTCCTGACATCACGTGATCTGCCTGCCTTGGCCTCACAAAGTGTTGGGATTACAGGTGTGAGCCACCACACCTGGCCTTAACTTTTAAAATAAAAATATTAATGGGGGCGCACACAGATGATACATTTAAAAACTTATACCTGCTGGGCATGGTGGCTCACACCTGTAATCCCAGCACTTTGGGAGGCAGAGGTGGGTGATCACCTGAGGTCAAGAGTTTGAGACTAGCCTGACCAACATGGTGAAACCCCATCTCTACTAAAAGCACAAAAGTAGCCAGGTGTGGTAGCACATGTCTGTAATCCTAGCTACTTGGACGCTGAAGCAGGATAACTGCTTGAGTCTAGGGGGCGGAGGTTGCAGTGAACCGAGATCACACCATTGCACTCCAGCCTGGGTACCAAGAGCAAAACTCCATCTCAAAAATAAATAAATTGGCCAGGTGCGGTGGCTCAAGCCTGTAATCCCAGCACTCTGGGAGGCCGAGGCGGGTGGATCAGGAGGTCAAGAGATCGAGACCATTCTGGTCAACAAGGTGAAACCCCATCTCTACTAAAAATACAAAAATTAGCTGGGCATGGTGGTGTGCACTTGCAGTCCCAGCTACTCGGGAGGCTGAGGCAGGAGAATTGCTTGAACCCAGAAGGTGGAGGCTGCGGTGAGCCGAGATCGTGCCATTGCACTCCAGTAAATAAATAAATAAAAACTTACACCTTTTAGTCGGTTGTGTCTTCTATATTAATTTACTAAAAATTCAGATGTCTACAGTATCATATCATAATTTTAGCAGTGCCTAAGAGCTTCCTTTTAAAAATAATTTTAAATGTTTTGACTAAAATATAATAGAACTTGTCTGTAGGAGACTAATGTATAAAGTGACAAGTTTGAAGCCACAGGCCCCAAGGTTCAATTTGGTACATATTACCCCAGATCTTTGTGCACAAAAATTTCATTTTTATTTTATGAAAAATTATCCCATCTTTTCCATCCCCTACAATCAATTTCAAATGAAAGCAGAGATTAAAAAATTATACAGAAAAAGAATTTAAATATATTGTTGGATTATATATAATCAAAATAACCTAAGAAAAGCATAAAAGCTTTTTAAAATTAACTAAAATTATACTAAAATTTAAGCCTCAGACAGAGAGTTGTATTTTTATTTTTTACTAATATAAAGAGAAAAGCAAGTAGTATTTTATAAATTTACAAAACAAAGTCACATAACTACAAAACATTGTCAGGAAAAGATGCTAAGCAATTACTTACCATATAATAGCCAGTATGATAGCCACTCATGTACCATGAGATTAACATACTTCCCAAAGCATCGGCATCATCAAAAGAATCTGGACATATGGGAGGTGGTGGGGGAATTACCTGGAGACAGAAAAAGGTACATTTTATATCCAGTAAACAAAAAAGTAAAGTCTGGAGATTTATATTATATAGCGAATGCTGGATATTAAGTGTATGTTTGCTTAGATCATCTCCTACTTAAATTTCTTTCTTTTGTTCCCTAAACAAAGATGTGGTCTTGTTACATTGCCCAGACAGGTCTCAAACTCCTGAATTCAAGTGATCCTCCTGCCTCGGCCTTCTGAAGTGCTGGGATTACAGGCATGAGCCACTGTACCCAGCCTTAAATTTCTTAATGTATCTACCATTTGGAGAAAACCAACCAGTAACAACAAAAGACCAACAAAATTAAACAAGGATCAACTAACAGTGATGTAAAATGTTTAAACATTTTTATATCATTAGACTACATATCTGTTCCACTATGAAGCTATGAGTAAAAAAATCAAGTACAAATGCTTTCATGCTTTTCCTCAACACACACATATATGCACACAAAGAGGTCACACAGCATTTCAAGGGCCATTTTAAGTAAAGGTCTTGGGTAGAACATCTGTCCTAACCCCACCCCAATACACAGTATGCCAACAAGTATCTTTGTATCTATTGTTAATACCTAAAAATCTACCATTAGAAATCCAGTTTACAGCCAGGTGCGGTAGCTCATGCCTGTAATCCCAGAACTCTGAGAGGCTGAGGCAGGCGGATCACCTGAGGTCAGGAGTTGAAGACAAGCCTGGCCAACAGGGTAAAACCCTGTCTCTACTAATAATACAAAAGTTAGCTGGGTATGGTGATGCACACCTGTAGTCCCAGCTACTTGTGAGGCTGTGGCAGGAGAATCACTTGAACCCAGAGGCAGAGACTGCAGTGAGCCAAGATCACACCACTATACACCATCCAGGGGAACAAGGTCAAAACTGCCTCAAAAATAAAAAAAAAAGAAAGAAAAAGAAATCCAGTTTACATCAGAACATCCAACTATACCTAGAAGGGCAAATACTAAAATACTAGTCCCTTCTATATGGTATAATTAAATCCTTTCTAACAGGAACCTCCCTATAGAACAGATACCAACTTCTGCTAGGAAAGAAGCTAGCAACACAGAGCCTAGAGTTGGCACTACAAGAACACTGCATTTAGGTAACAGAAAAGAATTAAAAACACACACACAAATAACCCAGAGGTTTAGTTCAAATTTCTACCCATCAGAATCTGGCCCTAGGGATGGTCTACAATGACATTTTCCAATCCTCTATTCTGCTAAATATCAAATTGTACGTGAAAGCAAAATCTAATATATACATGCTTTTTTACTTACTGGTGGTCCAGAAGGAAATGGAGGCAGGCAGTGTGGTAGAAAGGGAGGTGGAGGTGGTGGTGGTGGTGGTGGTGGTGGGACACTGAATTTTAGACCTGGCTATAAGGAATAGTTCAAAGGAAAATTAATTTACCCTTTTCAATATGAAATGAATAAAAATGATTAAAAATAAAAAAATTAAAATACCCTGAATAATATTTGTATTATACATATAAAAAAGATTAAGTGAAATTTCATGCACCAAATCCTGAAGTCAAACAGACTCATAATTCAAATTACAACCCCTAGATTTTTCTCATTTCCTTTCTAGGTAGATATTAAGGAAGTAAAACAAAATAAGAGTGGTAATTACCCAATAAATCAGACACAGTCTATTTTGCAAGATTATTTCAATCATAAAAGACTATACCCCCAATTTCATTAACTAAATTGTATTTTTATGGAAACCAGTTTAGCTATATAAGTTAACTTAGAGCACATATTGTGAAAACTAGCAAATCTCACACCTTATAAAAATCAGTCCCCTGAGACCAAAGAAGCATAATATATACATTCTAAGAGGATTTATCATTTTAGATTCAAGAAACTATAACATGATGTCAGCCTCAACAAGAAAGTTATCACAGAAAATCTTAAGAAAAACTTCAGATGAATCATGCTTGATTTTAAAAAATGATTGCCTAGGCCAGGCATCTGTAATCTCAGCACTCTGGGAGGCCAAGGTGGGCAGATCACTTAAGGTCAGAAGTTCAAGACCAGCCTGGCCAACACAGTGAAGCCCCACCTCTATCAAAAATACAAAATTAGCCAGGTGTGGTGGTGGGCACTTGCAATCCCAACTACTCGGGAGGCTGAGGCAGGAGAATCGCTTCAACCCAGGAGGCGGAGGTTGCAGGGAACCGAGAATGTGCCCCCGGCTCAAAAAAATTATTGCCTAAATATCATTCCCTCCACAGAAGAAATCGCTGGTTTATACAAAAGAACTGGAAAAACTAATCACTAAAGTTAAAGATATTTTACTAACTTTAGGTTCCATGACGTAATCTAACCTATAATACAAATCGTTTTAGAACTAGTTTCTTTCTTTTTTTTTTAAACATGTTCCGTGTTTTCTCATAATAGACCTAGTTTCTGTTACTTATAATCAAAGGATTATAAATGAAAACAATATTTACATTTGAACTCTATAAAACAATCTGAGAGCACCACGGGATTTTACCTATATTAGATGTAAATGATGTGTTCTTATTTTACGTATTTTTTTTTTTTTTTTTGAGACGGAGTTTCGCTCTTGTTACCCAGGCTGGAGTGCAATGGCACCATCTCAGCTCACCGCAACCTCCACCTCCTGAGTTCAGTCAATTCTCCTGCCTCAGCCTCCTGAGTAGCTGGGATTACAGGCACATGCCACCATGCCCAGCTAATTTTTTGTATTTTTAGTAGAGACGGGGTTTCACCATGTTGACCAGGATGGTCTCAATCTCTTGACCTCGTGATCCACCCGCCTCGGCCTCCCAAAGTGCTGGGATTACAGGCTTGAGCCACCGTGCCCAGCCTATTTTACCTATCTTATACAGGTGACATGGGAAACAACAGCATGTCATCCAGCTGATGATAAATTATTATACTTTTTAACTTAAATAAGTGTGCTCATTATTAGTCTAATACCTAATACTCCACAAAAGAAGCTGGATAAATCTTTCGCATAAAGTATTTTGTGGCGTTCACTGCAGTGTCTAAGGTTTTTTTTAAAAAAAGTTAACTATTTTGCATCATTATCTTATTTCATTGTCTTATTTCTTGTGTCTTTACAACATCTAACAAGAGTTACAAAGGTTTCATGGGAGAGCTACAAATTAGTTAATAAAAAGTTTTACACATCCTGATATTAACTATTTTGTGGGAAACCTTTCATAAGTAGAAGGTTTACCTTTCCTGGTCCCAGTCTTGGCCCTGGCATAGGGGGTGGTGGAGGGAAAAAAGAGTTCCATGGAGTAGCTTTGGATTTGATGTTATCTGATTTATTTCCAGGAGACCTGGAGTTCTCACTTTCATCTGTGGAAACTTGACTTTCATTTTCATTCTTTAAAAAGAAAAAATACGTAGGTTTTTGTTATAAGGGTGTCATTAAGAAAAACTTAATGCCTCAGTGTATCTAACTGACAACTACTTATGTTGTTTAACAGTTTCTCATCTAGTCTCTGCTTCCAGAAACTGAATTTTTTTTTGTATCCTTACCTCTTGAGCATTCTGTTCTATATTATTAGCTACTTCAGAGATTGGGGAAAGTAGGTCAGACAGGTTTTGCTCCTCTCTGTTTCCATATCCAGTGTAAACCACAACACAGGTTTCTCTCTTAAAGTCAATTGAAGCAATGGTAGCTGGGTAAATGCCACCATCTTCTGACCAAATGGCAGAACATTTGTCCCCGATTTTCCACTACAAAAGAAATCAAAGATACATACGTGCAAACATTTCTTTTGAAGAGGGCAAACTATCATCTTGTTTTGATCAGTGGGGAGGTGAAGAATAGAGGGTAGAGACTTGGAAGGCAAAATGATGTAATGAGAAAGGCTTGGGGTCTAAACACCTAAGTCTGAATTCCAACTCTCTCACTTATATAATCATGGACAAATTTCTGAATCTCTCTCTTTTTTTTTTTTTTTTTTTTTTTTTTGAGATGGAGTCTCGCTCTTGTTACCCAGGCTGGAGTGCAATGGCGCGATCTCGGCTCACTGCAACCTCCGCCTCCTGGGTTCAGGCAATTCTCCTGCCTCAGCCTCCCAAGTAGCTGGGATTACAGGCACGCGCCACCGTGCCCAGCTAATTTTTTGTATTTTTAGTAGAGACGGGGTTTCACCAAATTGACCAGGATGGTCTCGATCTCCTGACCTCGTGATCCACCCGCCTCGGCCTCCCAAAGTGCTGGGATTACAGGCTTGAGCCACCGTGCCCGGCCTCTGAATCTCTTTGAGTCTTCGTTTCCCCATCTTATTAGATGGCTACAATATAAGCTACTTCCCATATTTGCTGTGAAGAGCAGGAAGGACAGAATGGTGCCCAGCATATGGTGCCCAGCACTCTGATCCGGCCTAGAGCAAGTGTTCATCAACTGTTAGCTCTCTTCCTCCTTGGTAATGATGAAACTAAAGTTGGCTAATGAGACACCAAAATATTCAGCTTTCAGGACTACTGTTTTTAACTAGCAGAAATAATCTACCTAGACTTCTGGGTTCCTTGGAATTAATAGTTCTAGAGTTTTTGAAGAAAAAAGGAAAAAAAAATCCATCTCTCAGCTTAAGACGTAAAACACTGCTAATTCAGCTTACAGTCGTTGGGTACTCCTCCCAAACAGCATCTCCTTCTCCCCACCTTCCACTCACAAATGGAACGCATGTCCTGATTTTAGATTTTTCATTCCCATTTAATTCCTTATACTTTCATGACTAACATGTATGTTCCTAAATAGAAAATTTAATAGTTGTTTTTCATGTTTTATAATTGTCGATCAACAGAAACACTGTACTAATCACTAAAGTTAAAGATATTTTACTAACTTTAAATAAGGACTAACAAGATATCCTTTGAAGTTAAATCTCAATATTTTGAACTAACCTGTTTTACAGGAGCTGCAGTATTCTTCTTTTGGCTTTTATTCTTCTTCGCAGGTTTTCTTTTAGGTGTGCTTTTTGGTTTACCTGAAGTTTCACAAATGTCCCCATTCTTTAGAGCATGCTATGAAAATGTACATGTTACAGGGTGGTACATAAAATAAAAGTCATGACATAACTCAGTTACCACTGTAAGTTGGTATCAAGGATCCACCACCTCAGAAAGCATCTATTTCCTTTTGACCACTTCCTACACTATAAAAACTGCTCTTTAAAGGCATTATATCTGATTATCAGCTCTAAAGACCCTTTTAATCAAATCTCCTTGCTCTCAACCTCTCTGCAACATCAGGCCCTGTTAATTATCCTGCTTCCTGACATTCATGGCACGTTGGATGTCACAGCAATGTAGGGCCCCAATGCTTTCATTACTTCTGATCAAGCCTTACACTTAGGCATTCCCAATAAAAACTGGCCATCCTTCTTTACTTGCTTAAAGCCATCTATTCTTAATACTTTAACTACAACAGTCTGCAAACAAACTTCTGAAGCCATTATCTAGATCTGATGTTGCTGAATCCAACATTTCCAATGAAGGATTTCACATCTTCATACCTCAAACTCAACACTACTAAAACTATCATTTTCCCAAATCAGTTCTTTTCCTTCTTTACTCAGATTACTTCCCCCTGCAATATCACCAAGCCATCCCACATTGAGCCCCATTTCAATCTCTATTGTATAGAACTCTCTTGATAATTCTTCTTTAGTCGACTTCCAGTTTCAGTGTATATTGGAAAGCATATTTAAAAATCTAGGCCAGGTGCAGCAGCTCATTCCTGTAATCCCAGCACTTTGGGAGGTCAAGGCAGAGGGACTGTTTGAGCTCAGGAGTTCCAGGCCAGCCTGGGCAACACAGTGAGACTGACTCTCTACAAAGACTACAAAAATGAGCTGGGTGTGGTGACCCATGCCTGTGGTCCCAACCACTCAGAAAGCTGAGGTGGGAGGATTGTTTGAGCTCATGAGTTGAAGGCTGCAGTGAGGCATAATCGCGCCACAACACTGCAGCCTGGGTGACAGGGAAAGACCCCATCTCAGAAAAAAAAAAAAAATCTAGAATTCAGCTACAAAGGTGACACAGAGGTCTGATCCTTAGCTCATGTCACAAGAGTAACTATGAGAAAGACATGAACTCAGTATGCTTGGTGCTCTTTATACACTGCATGAGTATATGCTCTGTTTGCTCAAGGTAGCCTGGACTACTGATGACCTATATTTAGTTCTCACTAAGACTAAGCACTTCAGAGAGTGGAGAAGGTGATGATGTTGGCCAACTATTTGTTTGAGCCACAGAACCACACTACACTTCCTAAAAGAACCATATATTCCTACCCAACAGGAACACTTGACTTCATACCCAACTCATAGGATTTGGGATTAATTTAACATGTGCAAAGCATGTAGAGCACTGTCAGCATGCTACAAGTATTAATTACTGTACTACTGCTATTTATCATCATCATTATTTTATTAAATAATTGTTAAATGTTTAAAATATTCAGACTGTCCTTTTCCTATTAATCTCAATTAGAGGACTTCTACAGTTTGATACAATATAAAAATACTAAAAATACTTTTTTTTTTTTTGAGCCAGAGTCTCACGCTATCGCCCAGGCTAGACTGCAGTGGCATGATCTTGGCTCACTGCAATCTCTGTCTCCCAGGTTCAAGTGATTATCCTGTCTCAGTGTCCCAAGTAGCTGGGATTACAGGCATGAGCCACCATGCCTGGCTAATGTTTGTATTTTTAGTAGACAGAAGTTCACCATGTTGGCCAACCTGGTCTTGAACGCCTGAGCTCCAGTGACCCACCCCGCCGCGGGGCCTCCCAAAGTGCTGGGACTACAGGAGTGAGCCACCGCACCCAGTCAGGAATAAATGTTTTAAATTTTATTTAAATTGCCTCCACAAATAGAATGACATATATAAGCTATCAACTTCTAAAGGAAGACACCACCTGATTTAATAACCCATAATACCAACTACTCTTCAGAATGAAAACTGAATAACATGTACTTTAACACTTTATGTTATCAATTCTTTTCCAAATGAGTAATAAGAGAAAATAAGCAAACAAGTAACTAAGTAAGCATTTTATACCTTAAATGAAGCCACAGCTTTATCATATGCTTTTATCAATGCTGTATCATCCCAAATGTCAGAATCATCGCTCTGGAAAGGGTAAGAAATAAAAACAACTCATGATCAGGTAGGTTTAATCAGAAAATGTATGTTAGTACCAAGAGTCATCTCAATCTACACATAACCAAATTACACTGAAAATGAATATTTAAAATCCTAAATAAAGCCACAGGAAACTTACCTGCTTAGAGGTTATGTGACTTGACTCCCAATGCTGGACATAGGGAAATGTTCTAAGAATGAATGCCATCAAGTGAATGCCCCTACAATTTAATTCCTACCCACAGACCATGAGTAGATTTGTTCAAAGCCAGCTACTTTTATTTAAATTAAGATCAGATAAAACTTGACTTCATCTAGACTATGGGAATGCTATTCTGACTTCAGAATCTATCATCCAAAGTAAGTTTTTGTCTTGAAATTATAATGTTTCTAGATTATAAGGATACAAATTGTTAACAGTGACTAACCAATTTCTGTTTTATTTTCACTATTATTTTTTATTTCCATTTCCCTTTCCTGCTTTCCTGGTACCAATTTTCTGTTTCTTTCCTTTCCTTTTCCTTTCTTTTGGTTCTTTCTTTCTTCTCTCCCTCCCTCCCTTCATTTCCACCACACCTGGAAATATTTTTGTCCAGACATGGTGGCTCATGCCTGTAATCCCAGCTAACTGGGAGACTGAGGCAGGAGAATTACATGAGCCCAGGAGTTGGAGGTTACAGTAAGCTATGATCATCCCACCGCCCTCTAGCCTGGGTGACAGAGGGAGACCCTGTCTAACAACAACAACATAATTATGATAATAATAATAAAAGTCACTGAGAGATATATGGAAATATGTTAACTCTCCAGAGATATGATCTAACTAAGGATTTAAGACTGTCGCATAGACAAAACAAAAAACAGTATTAAGCAATTCTGAACAAACATCAAAATATGAAATATAAACAGTAAGTATTTTAATTGTAAAGGAAAGAAATTAATGTATACTGAATGATCATATGGAGGAAACAGGCCTAAGAAATAAAAACCAACAGGATTTGGGCCAGGCACGGTGGCTCATGCTTGTGATTCCAGCATTTTTGGGAGGCTGAAGCAGGCGAATTGCTTGAGTCTGGGAGTTCGAGACCAGCCTGGGCAATACGGTAAGAAGCTCATGTCTACTAAAAATACAAAAATTTAGCTGGGCATGGTGGCACATGCCTGTAGTCCCAGCTACTTGTGGGGCTGAGGTGAGAGGGTCATTTGAGCCCAGGAACACAAGGATGCAGTGAGTAGAGATGGAGCCACTGCACTCCAGCCTGGGTAACTAACAAATTGAGACCTTGTCTCAAAACACCACCACCAAAACAAAAAACCAATAGGATTTGCACAGGTAGACAAAATAGAATGCATTCCAACTACAGCATGACAACAACAAAGAATCATGGAAGCAAAATCAAACACGCTAACTGTAAGAATGCACTTACATGAGGTAACTAAAGGAGTCAAATTCATAGAACTAGAAAGAATGAAGTTTAACAAGGGCTAAGTGGAAGGAAAAATGGGATTAGCTAATGAGTAGTTTCAGGTTGCAAGATGAAAAAGTTCTGAAGATCTGTGGCACAACAATATGAAAATACTTAATGTTACTGAACTATATGCTTAAAAATGGCTAAAATGACCATTTTTTACTTCAATAAAAAGTAAAATACACTGTATGAGGGATTAGTGAGACAAGTCCAAATAGAATAAAATTTATACTATAGAGCGGAGTTGGATTTGGTATACTATAAAGTATCTTGGATTTGGTACAGTATTAGTCATTGAATTCCAAAAAAGTTTGTTATAAAATTCATTGAGTTGTAATATTACTTTTTGTCATTTTCCTATTTTTTTTGTTTTTGTTTTCTCTTGAGACAGAGTCTTGCTCTGCCACCCAGGCTGAGGTGCAGTGGCATGATCTCGGCTCACTGCAATCTCCATGGTTCCAGCGATTCTCCCAGGTTCCAGCGATTCTCCTGTTTCAGCCTCTCAAGTAGCTGGAATTACAGGTGCCTGCCACCAAGCTGGGCTAATTTCTGTATTTTTGGTAGAGATGGGTTTCACCATTGTGGTTAGGCTAGTCTCAAACTCTTGACCGCAGGTGATCTGCCCGTCTCAGTCTCCCAAAGTGCTGGGATTACAGGTGTGTGCCACTGCACCCAGCCTTGTCATTACCCTGTTAATCTCTATTATATAGAAACAAATGTGTTCCAGTGTAAAACTCTCAATCTTGCTATATGATAAAAAGTACTTCTGGCTGGGCAGGGTGGCTCACACCTGTAATCCCAGCACTTTGGAGTCCAAGGCAGGCAGATTGAGGTCAGTTGTTTGAGACCAGCCTGGCCAAGATGGTGAAACCCCGTATCTCTACCAAAAATACAAAAAAATTAGCCAAGCGTGGTGGCACATGCCTGTAGTGTCAGCTACTCGGGAGGTCGAGGCAGAAGAATCACCTGAACCCAGCCCAGCCTGGGCAACATGGTAAAACCTCATCTCTACAAAAAGTACAAAAATTAGCTGGGTGTGGTGGTGCACATCTGTAGTTCCAGCTACTCAGGAGCCTAAGGTGGGAGGACTGCTTGAACCGGAATGGGAGGCTGCAGTGAACGAATATCAGAGAAAAAGAGATTGTGCCACTGCACTCCAGCCTGGGCGACAGAGTGAGACCCTGTCTCCAAAAAAAAAGGTCCTTAAAATCATTAAGTCGTTTTGCAAATAAGAAAAGTAATCACATAGGTCTGTTAATTTATGCAGTTTAATCCGGTAAAAAAAAAAAAAAAAAAGAAAAGAAAAGAAAAGAAAACTAATCACAAAGAGGTTAACTGACTTAAGGTTACATTCCCACTTGGAAGGGGAGATGTTCCTTGTAGATTTGGTAAAAGGAATAAAAACAGGCTGAGTCCAATGGCTCACTGCTGTAATCTCTGTCTCAAAAAAAAAAAAAAAAAAAAAGGGCGGGGGCAGGCATGGTAGCTCATGCCTATAATCCCAGGACTTTGGGAAACAGAAACGGGTGGATCACTTGAAGTCAGGAGTTTGAGACAAGCCTGGTCAACATGGCAAAACCTCGTCTCTACTAAAAATACAAAAATTAGCTGGACGTGGTAGTGCATGCCTGTAGTTCCAGCTACTCGGGAGGCTGAGGCAGGAAAATTGCTATAACCCAGCAGGCAGAGGTTGCAATGATCCAAGATCACACAACTGCACTCCAGTCTGGGTGACATAGTGAGACTGCCTCAAAAAAAAAAAAGAAGGGAAGCAAACAGTAGAAAATGAAAGGTGGTCCTGAAGAAATAAAGAAATCACAAAATTAGAGGACACATCTGTAAGGTCTTTTAGGCTGACTGATGATGCCATGGATGCCATGGCAATCCCTGTGACCTGCATATACACCTCTGGATGGCCTTCCTGAATTAGAAAACCTGAAATAACTGGAAGACCATGAAAAGCGGAACAACAATCAACCCCTGTGGCGCCTAACTAACTTGAGACATTCTTCTACTATTTCTTATTCCAGGCTGAATTGAAAAGGCCATTGGACTTTGTGACCGACCTTGGTCAATTTCATTACTCCAGACTCTACAACCCCCTCCCAACTTGCAAAAAATCACCCTAAACCATAACTTCGGTAACTTTCCACTGCCTGCTGCAAACCTATGAAACCAACTTCTATCCCACTGCTCTCTGCTGACTCTCTTTTTGGACTCAGCCTGCCCGCACCTGGGTGAATAAACAGCCATGTTGCTCACATAAAGCCTGTTTGAGGGGTCTCTTCATTCAGAGCATGCATTTTAACATTTGGTGCAGAAAACCCAGGACAGGAGTCCTCCTTTGGGGAGACCGGCACCCTGTCAACTGTGATATGGTAAAAGCCCCATAAAACTGCATACCTCAACCATACCTTGGCTTTCTTTTGAAACTCCTCTCTGTAACCCTAATGTGACAGGCAAGCAGTCCAAACCCACACCATCTTGGCCCCTGCGACTTGTAATAAGTAATTAAGGTCTGTGATTTCCACCCTACCCAGACAATGTGTAAACAAATGCTTATCTTGCTTTTGTAAACCACTTAAGTAACAATCAGAATGTCAAAAGTTCCCTGGCCCTCGGAATGTCCTGAGCCCTCTCACCTTCATCTTTGCCCAGGAATCCACTGGAATGTCTGAAGTCCCTCACCCCAACCCCCGCCCCTCACCCCTCACCCCTCACCCCCAAGGTGGTTTTACAGGTATAAAATGTCTTGACACCCTCCTTTCAGGGTCACGGGTTGGAGAGACATGAGTCCTCTATGGCCGCCAGCAATAATGACCCTGCCGTTTGGCATACTTTTGTCTTGGTGTTGACTTTCTATGCTCGGGCCAGTACATTTTGGAGGTCCCACCGAGATTTATCTTCATCCATCACCAGACAAAAGCCGTCTCAGACTCTCGCCCAGGTGGCCGCTCCACCTTGGGGACCTCTAGGGGAGGCGCCCCCTGAGATATTCCAGGGCCCCAGAGTTCTGGCCCCGTGGAGGATAGTGACTACCCGGCTGACATTCACCCGAAATTCCTCAGGGTCCTGGGAACCTCTAGAGGTAAGTCAGGTCTGGGGACCGGTCCATCAGAGGGGCCTGAGTCAGGGGACCTGAGTCGGAGGACCTGACGTAGTCATTGCAACTCTGACCAGGCAAACCTACCATGAGATGTCACTGGAGGCTCAAGTTACCTCATTAGAGGCTCAGGTAATTTAGTTTTTGGTTGTTTTCCATAACCTTGATGTGAATGAGAGAGTGCATGTATATATATGTAGTCCCATGGCTGGAAGGCTATGGGGCTTGTATGGGCCTTGACCCACGGTTCCATGGGGATGTCATAAAGCAGGACATCATCTCAGGACTGAAAATTCTGAGGTGACCAGGCCCCGGGTTTATACGGGTACATCTTAGCCAAGATGCTCTGTAACATCCCTCCAGGGACATGGCCGGGCGGGCATCAGACTGGTTTCTCATCTGAGGGGGCACCCATCCTTTGTCTGTCAATCCTATATGTGGTTTTGTCTTTATTGTAGATTCACTAGTTTTGTTAGACTCCTGTTGGCCGATATACAGTGGTTTAGGCCTGTTACTCTTGAGGTGGATAATATTCTCCATTGGCTAAGTGACCACTGACTTTAAGGAACTCTAATTGAGTTTACACCCCTGGAATAATTCTGTTCTCTTTCCTTGAGGCCTCATTCTTCCTTTTTCTCATGTCTGAGCGAAAATTCTGCCCCTGACGACTTGGGTGTAGTTTTTTCTGTCTTAGGGAATCAAACTTTAAATAAGAAACTAACGGCCAGGCACAGTAGCTCAAGCCTGTAATCCAAACACTTTGGGAGGCCGAGGCGGGTGGATCACGAGGTCAAGAGATCGAGACCATCCTGGTCAACATGGTGCAACCCCGTCTCTACTAAAAATACAAAAAATTAGCTGAGCATGGTGGCGTGTGCCTGTAATCCCAGCTACTCAGGAGGCTGAGGCAGGAGAATTGCCTGAACCAAGGAGGCGGAGGTTGCACCACTGCACTCCAGCCTGGGTAACAAGACTGAAACTCCGTCTCAAAAAAAAAAAAAAAAAAAGAAATTACCAGCCCTCTTTGCCCATTTAGGGTAAAAAAGGAGTAACTGTCTCTTCTGTCAAAAGAAACAGAGATAGGGAGGGAAAGAGGAGAGAGGAAAAGAAAGTAGGGGAAGGGAAGAGGAGAGAGGAGACAAAGGAGAAAGAGGAGACAGAGAAGAGAGAGGATAGAGGACAAGAAAGAGAGGGGAAGAAGAGAGAAAAGACAGGGAAAAAGAGAGGAGGCAGAGAAAAGAGAGAAAGTAGACAGAAGAGAGGAGAGAGGAGACAGGGAGAGAGAGAAGAGAGAGAGGAAAAAAGTAGACAGAGGAGAGAGGAGAAAGAGAGGAGAGAGGAGACAGAGACAAAGAGAAAAGAAATAAAAAAGAGAGAACGAGAAGAGAGAGAGATAGGGAGAGAGGAATTTAATGCTTTTTAGGGTCCCTGTGTCAAGGCGACCAAAAGCTGCAGGGGTGGAAAACTCGAAGCCGGCCCAGTGGCTGCAAGCTCAGTTTTAAACTGACCCGAAAGGCGTTTTTTTCTTTCTCTGCCGGCTGCCAGCCCCGCCTGGCTTTCAGGCAGGCCACACTGCTTCAGGGTGCAGTATCTACATCCAAAATATGGCTTTAAGAAAAGCTTTCTAACTCTCTGTAATGCAAGTGACCTGTTAGCACAGTAGTTAAGGTGTAGGGCCTGCAACTGCAAGGTTGTTCGTTGATATCCTCAGTGAAGCCAGTGTTAAATTAGTGAAATCTCTTGGGGGAAAATTCAAAAACTGAAGGAAAAACCAAATGGGGTTGTCTAGCTCCCAGCCTTGTACCCCCCTCCAATGCACGACGGCCAACTTCAAGGTTGGGTTTTCAGGCCAATATGAGGTAAAATTAACCCCTGGAGAACCCTGCTCTTTATCTAAACTAGAATGGCCGTCTTTTGGAATTGGGTGGCCTGACACTGGGACCTACGACAAAAAAAAAAAAAAAAATTACCCAGGCTATATGGAAATGGTCACGGGAAGTCCTGGCCACCCTGACCAGTTTCCATACATTAACCAATGGTTGGATTAAGTTCAACGACCCCCCCATCCCGCCGTGGCTGAAACGGGGCATAAAACAGGCTAAACGTCAGGTCATGTTAGCCAGCCCAAAGAAAGCCCCTTCTGGGCCAGCCATTCTCCCCCACCCTAGTGGAGGATCAGAAATTACCACCACCCTACTCAAGGCCCTCTGAACCAGAGCCTTAGCAACACCCCCGGATAGTACCAGTAACCAAACCTTGTCCCCCGTGCACATTCGCAGCGAGGATCCACACCCACTGGCGGTCCTATCTCTCCGAGAGGCGCCCCCAACAGGAGAAGACAATTGGGGTCGCCCATTCTTTGTTCACATCCCCTTCTTGTCAAGTGAGTTATATAACTGGAAGGTGATAGAAATTAAAGACAGGGCCGAAACACCAAGTGCTGGGAAAAGCTGCCGGGCTGCACCCAAATTTGGCACGCAGCACACGTGGCATGGCAAAGGGGATTTTTATGGCCTGCAAGCCAGCAGATGCATCCAGTGTGAGGGGTTGTGCAAGAGGGGAGGTGCTGAGCAACTGCTGAGTTTAATAGTTCCTAGGAGGGGTTTGTGCTGGGGAACTGCTAACATGGCAAGAGGGAGAGGGTTAGAAACCTGCTGAGATGGAAAGTTCCCCGGGAGGGGGTCGTGCTGGGAGGCTGGGGAACTTAAGGCGGGGTTTTACAATGGAGTAAGTTCTGTCAGAAGGCTCAGCATACCCCGTTCTCTGAGAAGCCCCAGGCTTTGACAGGGCTCTTAAAATCTGTACTCCAGACTCATCGCCCAACTTGGTATGACTGCCAACAATTATTACTGATTCTGTTCACCACAGAGGAAAGAGGCAAAATTAGTCAAGAAGCCCTGAAAGCCATCATAGGTCCAGGGCAAGGAACAGTAGAAAAAACAAAAAAACCGGGACTGAATTAAAAAGGTTTTTCCCTCTACCCAACCCCAGTGGGACCCCAATACCTTGGGGGGGTCACCAGACTCTGAACAGTCTTCACTGGTATCTTTTAGAAGCGGTTAGGGGGGCAGCCCACAAGCCCACTAACCTCTCCAAGGTAGGGACTGTAACTCAGGGTCTGCAGGAGTACGCAGGCTGCCTTCCTTGACCGTCTAGAAGATGCTTATCACACCTACACTTCTGTTGACCCTGAGGCTCCAGAAAATCAGCGGACCATCAATCTGGCTTTCGTTTCCCAGTCAGCCCCCAGATATTAAAAGAAAGTTATAGAAGTTAGAGAGATTCCAGGAAATAAATTTAACCCAATTCCTAGAAATTGCCCAGAAAGTTTTTAATAACAGGGATACTCCTGGAGCCATACAAAAAAAAGGGTTACTAAGGCAGTAATAGCAGCCCTTCAGAAGACACAAGTCATTCCATGAGGGCAGGAGGCCTTGTTAAAGGGCCCCCAGGGTCCCTGGCTCCATTAGGAAGAAACCATTGTGTGTAGTGTAAAGAAGAGAAACATCAGAAAGAATGAGTGCCCCAAGAGAAGAGGAGTAATTGCTCAGGAAAAACCACCGAGGGCTATCCTCAATTTAGAAGGTCAGGATTGACGGGGCTGGGGCTCTGGGGCTCTTATTTACTAAGCCCCCAGGAGCCCAGGGGGTCCTGTTCACTTTAAGAGTTGGGGACAAACCTGTTAGCTTCTTAGTGAACACCGGGTTGGCCCACTCGGTCCTTAAGCCTCTAGGACCACTAGCCAGTAAAAAACAATTATCCAGGGGACCACAGGAAAAACCAAAACAAGCTCTCGGACCACCAACTGACTCGTTGATCTGGGGAACGGCACTGTCACCCACTCCTTCTTAGCCATTCCAGAGTGTCTGTACCCACTCCTAGGACGGGACTTAATTCACAAACTTCAAGCAAATATTCCTTTCAGTGAGGGCCAGGCTTGCCTCTCAAGTCCTCCTCCCTTGGCATCAGGGCCACTTCAGCAAATCCTCATCACCTGTGCTCTGTCAGACGAGTATCTCTTGCAGGAAGTTTTATCCTCAGAGGCAGATCAACTACCAACATCAGACCTCCTCCACCAGTTCCAAGAGAATGTACCCAGAGTGTGGGCCGAGACAAATTCCCCAGGCTTGGCAAGTCACCGTACCCCAGTCGTGGTTCAGCTATTGGCAACGGCAACTCCAGTCGAGGTACGACAATATCCCATGAGCCAGGAAGCCAGATGGGGAATTGCTCCACATATAACCAGACTCCTAAAAGGAGGGATCCCTACTACCTGTAAGTCCCCCTGGAATACCCGCTTGCTCCCTGTGTGATATAGCTGGCCTAGAATTAGAACCAGTACAATGCCATTTTAAAATGGGAAAACTGTTTCCATTCTCCTCACAATGATTACTAGCCATGGCTTCTGTAAACTACTAAGATTACCTTGCAAAATGTAAAGAGAGGACAAGCTGCATACTTTCTCTTATCTGTAACTGCCAGAATTGCTGGCCTTTGCTTACCAAAGTAAGCACCCCCAGATAATTCCATCCTGGCGCCAAGTAACCTAAAATTATATGGACCCCACACCTGTCCAAATAATGTATAAACTAATGTTTACCTTGACCTCTGTAAACCACTTAAGTGGCAATCGGAATGACAAAAGTCCCCTGGCCTTGGAATATCTGGAGCCCCCTCACCCTCCTCTCAGCCTAGGAGGTGATTGACAGCTTTCATTCCCATCTCCGTTCCTCGCCCCCACTCCCAAGGTGGTTTTGTGGGTATAAAAAGGTCTTCTCACTCTTCTTTCTCGGCCACGGGTTGGAGAGACGTGAGTCCTCCGTGGTCGCCGGCAATAAACCCTGCAATTTGGTATACTTTTGTTCTGGTGTTGACTTTCTGTTCTAAGTTCAATGCAACACCTGTCTTAAAATCAGGCACAAAGGACTATCGGCCTGTATAGGACTTAAGGGAGGTAAACAAACGAGTAGAAACTGTCCACCCTACGGTTCCAAATCTGTACACCCTCCTAAGTCTCTTGGGCCCAGAACACCACCATTACACTGTCTTGGATCTCAAGGATGCATTCTTTTGCATCCCACTGGCCCATTAGCCAGCCCACATTTGCTTTTGAATGGATTGACCCCGATACTGGGGTCTCAGGGCAACTCACTTGGACAAGACTGCCTCAGGGGTTTAAAACCTCCCCGCAACTCTGTTTGATGAGGCACTTAGCCAAGATCTTGCTGCCATCCAAGCTGAGTTCCCCGAGTGTACCCTACTCCAATGCATGGATGACTTACTTTTGCCTACAAAAACCCAGGAGGCCTGTAGAGCCCACCTAGTCATTATTAAAGACCCCACAGACTTTGAATTACCAGGTCTTCGCTAAAAAGGCCGAACTCTGCCAACCGAAAGTTACTTACCTGGGCTATATCATAGAGAAGGGCAGCCAGGCACTGGCACCAGCCGAGTCCAAGTGGTGCTGCAAATACCCACCCCCACCACAAAATGCCAAGTTCGAGAGTTCCTTGGGGTAGTAGGGTACTGTAGGCTATGGATTTTGGGATTCGCGGAGATAGCCAAGCCCCTGTATGCCTGCATTGGAGGAAATCAGCCCTTGACTTGGACAGAGATAGAACAATGGGCTTTTAACAAGCTCAAGACTGCCCTAACTACGGCCCCAGCCTTGGCTTTGCCAGGCATCTCTAAACCCTTCCGGTTGTTTATGCATGAAAAATAGGGAGTCGCTTAGGGGGTGCTCACCCAGACATTGGGACCATGGTCCCAGCCAGTCACCTACCTTTCAAAAA